CCCCCCCCCCCCCTCGACTAGGATGTCCCACTTTGAGGGTCACTTCCGAATTTTGATGATGGTACCCCCTAAACCGTTGACCCCACTTATAAGAATAAGATTTCACTATAGGAAAATTCTAAAAAAATTTCTAAGGGTTGCGTACGGCCAAGAATCACCTCCCGGTCCTGGGCCAGATTCTGCATTTTGCCCATCTTGATGATTTTTTTTAAAACATTAGAATTGAGCTAGAGCTTCAAAAATTTCACTCTGAGAGCATATGTTAGGGTACTTAAAAGAAAAATTAATATTCTTGTCATCATGCGTTCCCATTTTTTGCTACAAATCCTCGAAATCGGCTAAAAACGCGCGAACTTCAAGATTTTGTATGTTTGTCTCGTGACGATTCTCTCAGCTGACAAAGTTAAATTAAACATGAAACGCAGCATTAATTGCATCTCGATACTCATTCTGACCAGAATTCATACTTCACTTCATTAATTTTACTTATTACTGTGTGCTCAAAAATTCAAAGTAAAAAAATCGAGCTAGGTTGATATGATATGCCTTAGTTATTGTTATGTCCCTCTGTCAAGAATAGCGGTCCAGTGGTTTATGAATTATCAAAGGATTTTTTTTTTTTTTTTTTTTTTTTTTTTTTTTTTTTGCATAATTTTACATTTGTTTGTTTTTTTTTACTAATTTCAGATTTGTCTCCATCTTAATGAAATTCTTGGACACACATAATCTAGACGGAATTGATTTTGATTGGGAGTTTCCCTCCTGGCCAGACGCTAGCCCTGCTCAAAAAGAAAAATTTGCTATGCTTTTGGAAGATATAAATCTTGCTTTTAAAAGATTACCACCTGAAAGGCGATACATTTTATCAGTTGCTGTTGCTGCCCCTGCTTCTATCATTGATCAAGCATACAACATCCGTAAAATGGCTAGGTGATGCAGCCTTTTTTGGTCTTATTTAGAGATACAATGAAAGTTAGAATGTTAGATAAATAATGGAATACCAAGATGTTCTCCACGCCTCAGCTCTTCCTAGAAGCTTCGTGCCTTCTTTCCATATTGGATCCATTGGTTCTTAGACGTTTTATTTTTTTAGAGTCAAGAAAGTCCGAAAAATTTCAACCAAAATTGGCTCCTGTAAAAGTCTAAAATTGGACAATACCTGTCTCTATGGCCCTCAGTCTCTGTGGAACTTACGCCAGCTCTTTTGGTATCATCTGAACTTGAGATCATCACCGAGGAAGCGAGCCCATCAAATGTTATAAAACCAAAATTACGGCAGGAAAAACTTTTCGGCATCACATTCATCAAATAGCAAATACAATTTTAAAATTTCTTAGCGTCCTCATTCTTACTAGAAGAAAAAAAAAATTGCGAACAAAGTACGCTAAGAAATTTTGAAATTTTAATTTGAGGGTGATAGTACATAATGTTAAAAAAAATGGTCCAAAAGTAAAAACGTCCAAACCTATAATGTCCAATAAAACACAAAGGGCAAAACTTATGTTCAACTAAGTAAATAGTCCCATGTAAAATTTAAAAAATGAGCGTCAAAAATATAGGGTCCTGGGAAGAGCACTGAATGGCGAAAGTCGCCATGGTTATTTTAATGTCTTGCAAAATAGAAACATGTGATGGAGAAAATAAAAGAATAGTTTAGGAAAACAAATTCCATTCTACCTCATGTCAAATTTTTAGTGAAGGGTCTTATTTCGATTATTTTATTTCTGAAAATGCTGCAAATTCTGAAGAGTCAAAAAAATAATGATATAGTTCTCTACAAAGGGTACGTCTATCAATCACACTCGAAGTATCAAAATTCTAGTATTTATTGGCGTTGCAAGGATCAAGAAGCATGCAACGCACGGTTAACCACAAATGGTAACCGAAAGGCAATCCAAATTAAAAAAGATGGTACGGACAAGCACACGCACCCTCCCAATGTTGCGAACGTTGAAGTCAGAGGGTTTTTATCCCACCTGAAGGACCAAGGATAGGCCCGGCTGAATAATGGGGCAACCGACATTGTCATTGACAATGTAGGGACGGTTGAAAATGAGGAGGTTTTGGCCACCATGCCAGAGCGCACCACACTTCGACGCTTTGTAAATCGACATCACAATGAGACGCGGCCACCACTACCATTAAAGCTGGACGATGTTGACAACCACAGACGCTACAGGCGGACAAAATCGGGGCAGCGTTTCTTGATGTTCAACTCCGGAATCGATGATCCGAGTCGTATCATAATTTTTACGACAGTTCAAAATATTCAGAAACAGCCACAAGTTAAATAATTTTCACCGATGGCACATCTAAAATTGTTCCTCGCCAATTCTTACGGCTAATGACAGTTCATGGCCAATATAAAGGTTCCCACATAGCACAGAATATTGATATAATATTACAATAGTACTGACACGTCAGTAGTGTCAGTATTTATATAATGCTGATGTATCCTGATTTAATATTATATCAAGACTATGCCAGTATTTATTAGTTACTGATTTGGAGCTGTCAAAATATTGTCACAGTATTGGCCGAAAAGGTTGATTTCATATGGAAATCAGGGTTATGACAAGGTCATCAGAACACTGCAGGACACCGACAACATGTATGTACTACCTTGACACCTACCTACCTTGACCTTGTGGTGTACTACCTTGACACTGAAACGTCTGTACACTCAGCGCCCACTGTCAAGTAGATATGAAAGTTCAGACGATGACCGTCATTTTCATAGTACTGCACATGTATTACATTTGAAACATGAATTACACAAGTATACAAGTATTGAATATTATAAACCACTTACTTGATGTCCTGCGACGTTTAGTAGCGTAAAATACCCGGACGCCCTCGGGTGGATTTGAACCCGAACCGCGGAATTCCTAGCCCAGTACTCTACCATTGAGCCACAGGGAGCTGATGGTGTTTCGGGTCAAAATCACGCCTGTTAATAAGGCTGTTATAGCATGCATAGTATCAGTGCGCGGCTCGACTTTCATCATAACTTTGATTAACACCGTGTTTTCTTAGGCTTCTTTTTCTTCCTATATTTTTTTTTTTTACCTCGTCAGCATTGACTCAATACTGTTGTTTGATAAATTGAAGGTATCAGTGTTATATTCATGCTGACGCGGTATACCTTTTAACCGACAATCTTAATATCATACTCGTTAGTGTTGGTGATATCATGTCAACATCCAACAATATGTATCAGTATTGACATAAGATTCTGTGCTATGTGGGTTACTGTTTTCCGTTCACCTATGTTTTATCCGTCAACAAGGATGTAATTAAGTACAGAATGATCTACAGGGAATTAAAAGATTTTGCTGCTCGCCATCACGCACACTTACAACCTGAACACATTATGTCAGATTTCGAACTTGCGAATATCAATGCCTGCCGGGAGGCATTCCCTGAGGCAAACCAACAGTGCTGCCTCTTTCACTTCGAGCAACCATTATGGAGAAATATTGTGAAGTTCCACTTGGTGGAGGAGTATATGATCATTGCGTCGCCTGTAAGGAAATCTTTATTAGCCTTCATGGCCCTTCCCTTCGTCCCATTGGCAGACATACCTGAAGTATTCGATCTTCTCTACAAGGCAGCTCTGCCAGCCGTCCGTGTATTCACTGATTACATAGACGAAACATATGTCACAGGGAAACCAGCCACCCACTGACGGCCTGCTCTTCCTCCTAGATACCCGCCCGCTCTATGGTGTGTCTTCACTCTAACATTGGATGGAACGCAACACACAAACAATGTAGTCGAAAGTTACCATTCAAAATATCAAAAGATGGTGAAGACCCACCAGTTGAATGTATGGAAATTCTTAGATTATATGAAGAAAGACCAACACGACACTGAGCAAACTTGCATCTAGCTTGATAGCAAGCACACTAGAATCCGCCAACACATCAGCAAGAAATCTTGTAAAAATCAAGGAAGGATGTAGATGTGAACGAGACGTTACCAACAATTTAAAGATGATGAAGAAATCCCCAAATACTTGTGAGGCATTCCCTACAATAGTCGCATCCATTGTGCACCTACAGCACGAGCAGACGCTTTGGATTTTGACTCTTTTTCGGATGATTGGGACTCGGAATGATGCGTTTCGCATCTTTTTACCAGTTTTTACCAGTTTTGGACTTATTACTTAATTGGACAAGGTGGAGAAATGGTGCTGAGTCCACACCATTTCGCGGGGAAAACAAAGCCAAGAAGTTCCAAAAATTAAAATTAGAGTCAAAATTAATTTTTTGAACTCTAATGTGCACCAGTACGAAACTGAGGGGGAAGAGTGTTCAGCTCAGGCAGTTTGCATTGGATTATCAAGTTGGAGTCACGTCGAGAGATCTATACCGGTTTGGGCCTTTTTAGACCTCATCAGTAGATCACACTTGGCAGTGAACCCAACTTAATATGCCGCAAAATCCAAGACGGTATTAAAACGCCGTCATGGATATGACCCGAGGCATGACATAAAAGTGTGATCCTCGCGCCATCTACCGTTGCTGTTTTTTTTCCGGGTTTCCTTGTTTTTGTTATGAGAGTTGTTCAGCAGCAACGGTAGATAGCGCGAGGATCACACTTTTGTGTCATGCCTCGGGTCATATCCATGATGGAGTTTTAATGCCATCTTGGATTTTGCGGCATGTTAAGTTGGGTTCACTGCCGAGTGTGATCTACTGATGAGGTCTAAAAAGGCCAAACCGGTACAGATCTCTCGACGTGACTCCAACTTAATATTCCAATGCAAACTGCTTGAGCTGAACACTCTCCCCCCTCAGTTTCGTACTGGTGGGCATTAGAGTTCAAAAATTTAATTTTGACTCTGATTTTAATTTTTGGATCTTCTTGGTTTTGTTTTCCCCGCGAAACGGTGTGGACCCAGCACCATTTCTCCACCTTGTTACATACAGTTCGGGCCACTTCTTAGTGTTTTTTTTTCTTCACTTACAATTAGTTGGACATTTATTGATTTTGGCCTTCGTGTTTTGTTGGACATTGTAGGTTTAGACGTTTTTACTTTTGGACCATTTTTTGGGACATTATGTCCTATCACCAATTTGAGCGACCATGGGGTAGGAAAGAGGGCTATAAGCAGCAGATACGACATCGAACTACGGTTTTTGTCACTTGGATGAGCAGGAGAGTGGAATGATTGCGTGCACCGCCCTGGAAAATGCCTTTTGAGACGGTAACTTTGGCAATGCCAGGGTGCCATCTTGTTATGCTGAAAGAACAAGTTTGATACACGAAATGGGGCAATAATTGTATGCAGCTGGAATTTTACATCTGACGACCGTCACTAGCAGAACTTTTCGCCAAAAAACCGTTTTTTGCATTTGTAAGCTCCAATATTGAGTCAAAAGCTCTGAAAAAGTTCGGTAAGAAGTCGCAAAATCGTGGTAAAAAATAAACAATTTCCATTGGCTGTGACGTCAGGTGGTATACAAGGCCCCGTCCACCGCCATCACCCATTTCTCGACCGTGTGTTTACCAAGCCAAAGCGTGATCTGTTGTTAAAGATAAGCTTCTCAGGAGTTGATATTTTTGTGCTGTAGCACTGCAGAACTAAACAATATGGCCTAGACTTACTTTTTCGTTGTTCTATCTTGATCACAAGCTGAAACATAGCACTAGTTGAGATTCGGAAAGTGATAACAACAAGTCACTGTGGTTATGAGATGCCGAAATCACACGCTGAATGTGGCAGCTGATCATGGAAATCAACGGTCATCGCTCAACAGCTGACGTTTCGCAAATTCGAGTTATTTTCATCCACATAAGTATCAAATCTATTCGAATAGTTCAGACAAATCCGACATTATCCAATGGTCACTGAGAATCCTTGCTGAATTTTGCGTGTCAGGCATCGGGCCGATGACTTCCACATTCAAGCCACATTCAGTTCC